ATTTTCTTGGCGAGAAGCTGAGCAATGAGAATCAATTAGGTGAAAGGAGTAGCGGTCGGTTCACTGGTACCAGTACAAGTAAGAAGCCGTCGGTATCACAGAATATCTGCCAGATTTGATGACTAGGCTTATTTGTAAGCATCACTGCATAGTTGCATTTATCATGTAATTACTGCATAGTTGCAATTATCATGTAATTACTGCATAGTTGCAATTATTATGTAATTACTGCATAGTTGCAATTATCATGTAATTACTGCATAGTTGCAATTATCAGTGCAGGGAATGGATCGCATGCATACGTGAATAAGCTTACGATTAATACATCTGTCGATACAAAGTAGAATCGTCACAAAGTGGACTCACGTACCGGAAGGTACCGCTAGATTCTGTCCACCTGAGCTTCTCGTCGGAGAGACCTAACAGCAGAGCCTTGGCATTCTCGATCTTCCTCCTGCACTGAGCTGCATCGTCTACTAGTCTCTAAAACGACGACGCAAAATGGAAAATTTTCTTTAGCTCCAAAATGGCGAGCTATAACCCATATAATTGTGCATCATATATGTGTGCGTGAGCGATGCATCTCTTTCAACAATGAACGGCTCAACAAGTGTAGTTGGGTTTAAATTTAAGGGCAGCTAGCCGTATAAATCGCACAGAAAAATAACGTCACAGCACTAAAAATAATCAAGTTAGCGTTTCAATTGCATACTGTAATAATTGCCAGAAGTTTATGATAAATTACTGGGCAACCCTTTATATGGTGTTTATATGTGGTATATATATATATACCACATACTTAATTATACCTTATACTATATACACCACAGTTATTTACACAACCTATACACCCCGCCCTAGACAGCCCTGGTTATAAGAAACTATTGGTAAATAAGACCCACGCATGCACGCGCACACACACGCACGCACGCACGCATGCAAGCACGCACGAACCTGTTTCTCGAGAAGTGCAGACTCGTACATTGCCTTCACAGTGTCCAGCTCCTGCTGCTTCTGCGATAGCTCTGTCTCCGCCTGATCGAGGTCTGCCACAGCCTTGCGCAGCCGCGCCTCTGCCTTCGCCACGTTGTCCTGCAACAAGGCATCAGCGTGTCTGAAACTTTGCTCTTGCGTGAGCACACAACGCTCACGATCGAGATTGATATCTGTGCGTGCGGTATGCCAGACGTTTTCTGTTTGTTTGTTACAGATGCGTACTTTTCTCTAATTCTATGTGAAAGATGGAAGGATTGTCACCAAACGCAGACATTTCCCAAAGCAAGCACATAGTACCACTTCCTCTGTAGCGTGGTCTAACTAGAGGAATCTTTAGAGATTAAGCTGAGTAACCAATATGTAATCCATATCAATATGATAATATATATATATATATATATATAATATAATATATATATAATATGTTAATATATATATATATTATATATGCGTGCGTGCGTGCGTGCGTGGATGCGTGCGTGTGTGTGTGTGGGTGTGCGTGTGGGTGTAATCAATAATCTCCAGCGTAGCGAAAGTAAGAGCAACACGTAACATCGTTATAAGCAAAGGCTCTGTATAAGAATCACGCGCCATATTGTACAACGTCTGCTACGTGGAGCAACCGCTCTGTTTAGGAATGGCATGTTGGTGTGCAACACTATTATACATTCTACTATACGTACTACATGTATACACTACTATACCTTTAGCGGCAAGGCCTCCTTGTTGATGCCGTGGAAGAAGACCATGGCGCGTGTCCAGGAGCAGAGACCCGCGACGTCGCCGCACACTCTGCGCGCCTCGACAATGTTATAATCCTCACGCCGTAGATATGGCTCCAGCAGTTCGGTCACCTCGTCATTGATAGTATCCTTACACAAAATGCACGCGATATCAGCTAGTACGGCGACATATAATGGCGTGTTAACTGATCGGTAGCAAACCGAAACTAACAGGTAGAGAGATGCTGAGCACCCACACCACTTGCAAAACAGATTATTATTTATCACAGTAGAAGATCGTGTGGTATTGGGTGCTCGCCATAAGTATCGGGTGTTTAGGCATTTTTTCGGGTGTTTGGGTGTTCGGGTGTTTAGACATATCGGAGACATTTTTATTGTTTACGTTTTGGCTGTTAGCGAGATTTCTTCAATTAGTTCAAATATCTTATGTAGCAGTGTTTAGCAAGAGGCCTTTGTATTTATGTTTATATAACAGATATAGTAAAGGCTAATTCTCAGCTATCTCGATTCCACAGATTACAAATGTGATTGTGGGGAGGGGGCGGCATTCCCTATGCTCTAGCGAACCGTTTAATTTGTACTGTGAATTTATACATTAAGCACTGAATAAGACAATAACCATAATAGGCCTAGAATACCTTTGGAAAGTTGAGCAGCTGTTGGAGAAATGCTGTTCCACTCATCAACTTGAGAGACTCCTGCCATGACGGCATCACACATCGCGTTTTCATGTCTGGTATAACGCGTATTACGGACTTCTACAGTAAAAAAAAATCCAACTATGATTACGTTACCCATAAATTTATATCGTATTTTATGCGAGTTAATTTGAATATCTTCCTATGTGTCAATTCCGAACACAAACCACATTTACCTCTCTTCTGGATCAGTTTACCTAGTATATGTATACGTGTGCTCAACGCGTGCTGCAATTACCATATCGCAGTCCATACTGTAAGAACCTGTACAGTCACGGTCTGAAATTGGTATGAACCACGCACCTTGAATAGCAGCAGCACGCAGTCCATGATGAGCATGATGAGATTAGGTGGCTTGCCGAGCTTGCGTACGCTGGCGATGTGCGCAGGCAGGATGGTTTGTAGCGCGGCTTCGGCTTCCTTCAATGCCGGCTTGGCGTCCTCTAGCCTCTCCTCTGCGACCCCCTTATCGGCCTATCATCGCACAAGACGTCACATGTTGTCATGAATAAGAGACCTGCGTCGACACCCTTTCAGTTATGACTATAATGGACCGCTAATAGATGTGATATGAAAAAAAGCGGCCATGCCTGGCTATACCCCGTTTCGACCTATGCTTTTAGTGCGCATGAGTCGTCCTTGGTTTTTGTAAATAAGCTATTTGGAAGTAGAATACAATTTCCCGATTAGCCCCAACTTATACAGTTATCTCAGCACGCTTCAAGGTTTGTTGTATTACCGCAAATGGAACCGCACTTGCGCAACTGTAATGAAAACGTCAAATATTAGCGCTTCTAGCTGTACTATTTTCACCTCTCTTGTAGTTCAGTCGGTTTGCATCTATCGCGCGTTTCTGTGCGTAATGCAAGAGAGAGCTACTACATTCTTAGTTGTACCATGAGGACCCACATGCGGTCCATCATTTGCCGCCCGTTCTGGGTAGCCTGATGAAAACTTACGGCGATGCTATCCACGAGAGCCTGCGCACGATCCTTCACCTGCTGTACCTGACGCTTAGCATTTTGTGCCAGAGTCGCCTTTTCTGTCACTTCTTCCAAAACCTGTAACGAGAAGCAATAGCTGTTTATACTAGTAACAGGCGCCCCTTTTCTGTCACTTCTTCTAAAACCTGTAACGAGAAGCAATAGCTGTATAAAAGCAATATACTAGCAACGGGCGCCCCTATACTATACTCTGAGTATCTCCTCTGGTAGAATCGTCTTGCATGTTCAATCATCGTCGAGCAAAGGTTTTACATCTTCTAATACAACAGTATAGTTAACGTTTCAAACGTAACCAGTTTACTAACGAAAAGTCAGAAAATTTCTAATATTTTTCTACAGCACTTACACAGAAGCTCTTCCAGTTAGCATACGTGATTTCGAAAGAGTTAATTCAGTAGTTGTATTCACTTTAAATAATGAAAGAAAAATTACAGTCGCCTATACCTGTTCAGCCTTCTCAGAGGCAACTTGTAGATTCTGTTCCTTAACTAACAGTTCTTGCGAAAGCTCCTCGACCGACTCAGTAGCTTCTTGCAGCTTCTGTAGGCCTGTAAGAAAATGTACACTTGAGCGTCGCTCCACATTTATCATTGTGGCGCGCCTTACAACAGATCTTTATCTTTGTGATTTGGTAGCTATGGGGTTATGCTGTCGGTCCCAAACGGTAAATATATTGTATTCTCCCAAAAATTTGTTTCTTCACGGTTTATGATATTCGTCGTGTAACGCAAACAAAAATCCCACTTGCCATGTATTATTCTATTATTTAACCACAGATACAATAGGTCACTACTGTTCGCAATCCATGTCGGTGCCAGATCAGGTACATCGTAGCCATCAACCGCCGACTTTTATTCCCGGTTATCATGAAACCCCATGTTTTGTGTGTGAACTTTTCTCCTGCTATGTGCGTATGGGGCCGTTACAACAATAGCTTCGCCGTTTCGAATACTATCGCAAAAGACCCGAATGTCTACTACATCTGCAGATGCACAACGATTTTTTTATGGTTTTCCCGTTGTTCCTAAAGATTTATTCATATATTTAGATGGCTTGATGTACACTTTATATTTACTTAATGAATGATATGGCAAGCTGATTTATACTTATAACGTCATGCGAGCGGGTGGGCTCCGTGTAAACGTACCATTGTTGATTCGCGCAGAGAGAGTGCTGATCTCCTCGAGCTTGTTCGTGTACACCTCCTTATAGCTGTTGAGAAAAGACAGATAGGTCTTCGGTGTAACGTGTGTCTGTCGGCGGAATCGCTGGAAGTAGTTCTGGCATAGATCGACGGCCAAGTCCTGAGCAAGGAACAATCAAAAGCGGTTACTCTCAAGTGTCCGCAACCCTTACCTTTTTGCTCACTGATAGAATGATTTTCAGTGGCGACATTAGTAAGCAATACTGATTCCGTTCACTAAAAACTGAAAAAACTAACGCACCTGTTAGATCGGTTAAAAAGCGTCGATTATATGCCCGTCATCGCACTCAGATGAGAATTGCAGTTGCATGGCAACAGACACACAGCAATGTATGTACAACACGCATGCATGCACGCAAGCACACATGCACGCACGCACAAAAATATACATGGACACACGCGCACGCAGCATTACACACGCGCAAACGCACGCACGCACACACACACACGCACACACGCGCACACGCACGCACGCACACACACACAACACACACGCACGCACGCACGCACACACACACACACACACACACACACACACATATGAACGCGTGCAACACCACCCGCACGCATACACGCGCACACACACCCACACGAAACTCACATATATATATATATATATATATATATATTATGCATGCACGCATGCACGCACGCACACGCACGCATGCACGCACGCACACGCACGCATGTACGCTGCGCCACATACGTTCGCAGGCGTACATTGCAGCACCACAAGTACACGTGCGCGCATACGCACAGATGCGCACGCACACACGCGCACGCACACACTTACGCACGCATGCACAGCACGCACGCAAACGCGCAAGCAACACCTGATAATCTGCCATCGCGGCAACAAGTGAGGATCGGGTGTCGCCGTTTGATAGTAGGCTGAAGTTATCAAGGAAGTGCTGAGACATCGCGACTAGGGCGTCTTTTGGCCAGCGTTGGAACCAGTCCATCGTGCAGCCTGAGATCAGGCCGGGGAATTTCAGCGCCCAGTTACGGAATCTCTCACCAACCTGTCCAATAAAAAACACCTGCCTGAAACACCTGATAGTTGCAACTCTTTGTGACGTATCTGTGTTACACGTCTTTGTAACATCTCTGCGTTGTGCACCTGCGGGGAACATCCGCCCGCAACATCTCAGTGAACTTATTTGCGAAATCTTTGCGCCACATCCCTGTACACTCCGCACAGTGTGATGATTTGCCGTTATCAAATCAAGTTGAGGATAACGCAAATCATCACGCTGTGTGGAGTTTACATCTCCGAGATACTTGTAAACCCGTCATCGTGCCTCCTAAGAGGTCGGTGCGGCAAATTCGACCGTCGCATCTCTGAGTCTGCGCGTTTACACCTTACACGTTTGTCGGACATATCAGTGCGACAGACGCAGAGTGACAAATCTCAGTGAAATGCTTGACACAGCTATACGTGAGTGATCTCACCGGTGAGAAGCTGAGCACGATGTGGAGATTGGCCTTGACGCGGTCGAGGAAGAAGCCGTACAGGTTCTCAGTGGTGAGCATCGTGCGGAGTCTCTCGCGCTTAAAGACGGGAGTCAGGAACTGACAGATCTCTTCCGTCTCGTCTCGCGTGAATAGGTTAGATATCTGTAACAACACGGACATCCGCGGCGTATGGGTCTCCTCACGTGTACGATATTTTCTGATTACATCGCTATAACAGATGGAATGATCGTATATTGCTTATATATATTTATAACTTGGTTCATTGTGTTTTATTCAATTTTATCGTGATGTTCCAATTGTGGTATCATGGTTTATCGTGATATGTGGTATCCATTGTGTTTATCCATTGTGGTATGCTGGTTTATCGTGGTATTCCAATACATATTAGCGTTTTGACGTTGGCAATTTTTAACATTCTCTTCTAGTGGGCTTCAAAATCTGTATCACCACATACCTCATTAGATGATAATATTTTCCATTATCCGTTCTATGAAAATCGTAATGGTAGGGATTACGTGTGATTCATACCTCACCAGAAGACAGTATATTGTTCATGTACTCCATGAATGACTCATCTTTAATGTCTTTCTCGCAGAAGAAGAACGTGATCTTCTTTGCGTCTACTCCCGCTCTGCGAAACAGACCTTTCAAGTCATCGAGAAAGTTTGACACGTTGTAGCCCCTAAATAAAAGAATTATCAGATTAAATGAAGGAAGAGCAACTACATTATGTTGAAACAAACTGTCTTAGTCACTATAGCTTTAACTATAGCCAAACATTAGTGTTACAATTAAAATAACATTCGTATTCATAATATGCAAAATCTGATGCCTCACTGTATTTTAACGCAGAAAACAATGACACTCAAGAAGGGACCGAGTATGTATGTGGGAGCAAGGGAGTAGGCCTATAAAAGGCTTTTTCTAACTAATTTCAAACCTAATATTAGCCACATGCCCATAACCTGATCGCATGATTAAAACATTAGGCACACAGATTTTATAACATCCCCTTTTCATAAAATATTTAGCTGGCTGATGCTAATTAACACCTAGTGTATTATTAACTCGCTAGCACTTCATGAGCGAATGGGTGGGGACTGTAACGCGAGCTTATTTCACCTTGCGAGGGTGATCGTGTGAAATTGGTATCCATTGATAAAGGAGGCGAGCTTCGTGAGAACGCGTTTACCACAGCCTCCGACTCCGACTAGCAGGCAGTTTCCCTGTGGGGTGGCGAGTACGCGTGCAATCCGCACCATGTGCACCATCGCATCCTACAACGACATCCCGTAGTTATAGCGAGGTGACATCGCGTGACAAACAAACAACGAGATCGAATCAAACGAAATCGAATACTCTATCGGGAATACAATTATCTCGGAAATGCTCTTATTCGCAAAGAAAACTTTAAATATACGATATGTCGCCACATACTTCGCTCTGCTGATGACAGGCACTTTCTTATGTTTTCCCCGTCGGGAGTGTTCGAAGCTAGCTGAGAGATGTACAATCACATCGCGCCAATTCACTCAATTTCGCAGTCGTAACAAGCGCATGTAATATTTGTTAATATTTAGTCAAAAAATAAAACTGCGGTGACATGTAGCAACGTACTCTAAAGAAGACAAGATCAAGTCCATCGCCCCTCGTCGACTCGTTATACTGGCCCACGTAGCTGAGAAGTTTAACACGTAGCTTGTCAAATGACTCGATTGGTTCATAGATCTTCGGTGGAACGAGGGCAATATCCGCATCCTCCTCTCCTGCACCACAGCAATACACAAGTTGTTCATAAAGGTGTCACTACGACACATATTAAGTGTATCCTCTCGGCTCTAGTTGTTGTCACGGCAGATTGACGGTCTACCATAATAAGGCATATTATATTATATGGAATTTGTGGAATTGATAACTCTCACATGATCATAATAATCATAAGAAAATGAAACTAGAACCGCTGACTGTATGAGTGTAGGCATAAAAATTTACATCAGCTGATGACCGGAAAATACCGGAGATTTATTTTTAGAGGCAAATAATTTTTTAGTGCGGCGTTAATAATTTATCAGTAAATTAATACGTTGGCTCGCAGAAATACAGTAGAATATAGTATATATATATATATATATATATATATATATATATATATATATACACAAAGTAACGTCGCATCCTTACAAACCTGTTGGTTCTGGTGCTTCGCGCAGAAAATCCGCGAAGTAAACATCCGACTTGGATCCTTTAATGTCGTCCTTACTGAAGCTGGACTCAACCAACTGTAATGAGCCACTATGTATTTTACCAGGTTGTAATAGCTAGGTCTATATATGTGAATTATGATCCGTGAGGTGCGTAGTGACGTAAAATGTCACAGGAAGTTACGTGTGAAATGTAGCTCGTGAAATGTGAAGTGTACGTGATGTGAAACCGCTATGCCTACTTCATATTATGTAGCGAATTCTATTGTAATAATTATAGCGACTCCATGGTGATATCATCTGCTAAATCATATCTCACCCTAGATAAAATTAGAGGTGCCAGTATAAAAAAAATATTAAGAAAAATAGCACGCGTTTTGCGAGGGATGTCTTCGTGTACATAAAGGTGGTTACTAGAAGCGAGGAATATGTGATAAATGTGCACGTGCCTCTTGCTGAGCGCTGCGGAACCATCGTGTATCATCTTCGCAGACAAAACGATCAGCAATGACTCTCGTGCACTCGTGCTTCCACAGCCTGATCAAGTTGTCCTTCTCTGCGACGACCTCACTTGTGGCATTCAACATTCCCTGTTACAGTGTACGAATTCGTTGACATTCCTTTAGATGAAGTGTCACATATTAACACAGCATCCATGTTAAACTTAGCGACAGCCGCCAACATAAAATGGTCGGCCTAGAAGTTTAATCACGAACCCGTTTAAGTAATGTGGCGTAGTAACAAGGTATAGCTACTGATCTAAGCTGTATAGATTTACATAAACACAGGCCACGCATGTAGCAAGTAGCAAGTAGCAAGTAGCAAGCATGTAGCAAGAGCACATGACGCAAATATATTACTTTAGTAAACAGTAACACAGGTGATAAAAACAGAAGATACAGATGCGAACTGTCGGCACCAGCCACGGGGACACGATGCTAAACTCATTGTAGCTAGATGCATTTCTTCGTTGAGGGTAACTCTAACCCCGTGACGGATAAAAGGGAGGCGCGCATCTTCTGTCACACTGTGTATGAGTGTTGGACCGCGGTTCTTAGGTATTTCTCCCGTGTAGTGTTATCAGTACTTTTTGGAATAAAGATGCATCGCTGTCGCTATCTTTCTCCGCTTTGCCTCTCATTGTTTGACCGGCTGTTCTTCTCCATCGTCGCCTATTTAATCTCTGCACTCACTGGTGTAGCGTTGAGCTCTCTGTTACATTAATACCAAACGTAGGGGCCTACCTATCGATATAGTTTTGTGAATGAGGTTCAAAACTGTAAATGCCAGCTAAAGACAAACGTTGATCAATTACCTGCCAGATGCGGCTGAGATCACGCAGGTTGAAGATGTAGTGAAACTTGGCAGGTGTTGGCATCATGCACTGTTTGGTATTCTGCCACAGTCTCCGCGTAAGTGGTACAAGCTTAGCTGCCGTCCTACAAATCTCCCTGGAGAACCCCAGGTCCTGAAATGCACATGGTTAGTAGTAAATAGTATGCAATACATGCATTGCCTTTCTCCCCTAATAACGACATAAGCCCTATTCCCTGTCTTCCATATTAGATTAACAGCTGTACAATAGCAGCACACCTAATCATGATATTGAGAAGCACGAGCGATCGAGTGGGAGCTTAAAGGAAAGTTAGCATCAATTTTCCAGCTAACAGCTTACAATTATTTTTAATAGATCCAGCGGGGGATAAATTATTTGATTGCCCGATGATTTCAGTGGCGTACCTGGCGGAAATGTCCTTTGCAGATGACACTGAAGATCTGATCGATGGATTGGTCTGAGGGTAGAGTACAATTGAAGATGGAGAAATGTCTCTTCAGCCGTGATGGAATGTCGTTTCTTCCGCCACCTGTTAGACATTGTAATTGTTTGAAAAGTAATAAGTGATATGCTACTGGGCAGGCGCTATAGTGTTCTTTTCTGGGTATGACTGATGGTTCTGCTGTTGTAGCTGCGGCCGCTGTTGTTGTTGGTTTTGCTGTTGTTGTTGTTGTTGTTGTTGTTGTTGTTGCTGCTGCTGCTGCTGCTACTGCTGCTGCTGCTGCCGCTGATGCTGCTGTTGTTATAGTGGCCGAGGCGGCGGCTGCTTCTGCTGGTTGTGGTGATGATGCTGCTGCTGCTAATGCGGATGTTATTGTTGTTACTGCTGCCACCGTTGCAACGACTCTGCTTCTCATCGAAGTCAGCGATTTGTTAATAAGTTTTTAACTTTTATTTAGGTTTCTGATAATCGAAGACAAAAACATATCGAGAGATAAATTATACAAACACGTGAGTTGACGTACCTGGTTGAATCATGGCTGCCACAAATTGTACATCAGCAATCTTCGTAAAATCACCAGGTTTTTCAAGGTTGTAGAATCCTTTCATCTCTAGAAGCTGTCGCATGGTCTCGTTGGTGGGCTAATCAATATATCAATACAATACAATTATCAATACAAATATTGCACTCCGATAACAATAATACAATTTGAATGCACAATGCGCTCACCGATATTTCCGATAACAGTTTCTAGCTGTAGGACCAAAGGTGCACATACCAACAGAGCTATACATTGCTGATATCAATGCAGATAGGTATGCAGAGCATATGCACATATTTAGGTACAAACACGAACACAGAACAGATCTACGCACCTGGTCACCCCATTCGTTAACTACTGGCAGGTTCAGGTCATCTACAAACACGGTCATTTTACGCCCATTCGGGGGTCCATAGTTGTTGCCTATTCTCTTGTCCACGTAACTCTCTATCGTTCTCTACAATTTAACCAAAGATGTTAACATTTGTCACATGTTATCAAATGTTTACGAACGATTCAAAGTTATTTAAATTTTTATTATTTATTTTTAAGTAATTATATCACAAAAAATCATTGCAGTCGTAAGTTCACAAGATTTTTTCCCGTACTGTGATCGAGGTCAACCGGCAAAACGAAATAACGTGAGGCTACCTGAAATATCATTGGAGTAGTAGCACTGGAAAAACTAAAGTTCTTAAATAGATGATGTTCCTGGTCATATTTATTGCAGTGATTCTTTATGATGACAGTCTTGGCAGTGCCTTGTTCGCCTGAGATATACAAGAAAGCAATTAATATTAAACCTTCTCAGCATCTTAAAATATAATATATTACATACCACGTTGAAACAAAAATCTCTGCTACCACACTCAGCATGAAATAGCTACAATGCAGAAGTTTCATCACTGATTTTATTACAAACATATCAGAGAGTATAGTGATATACAAAAGTACCACATCACCAGCTTCATCACGTGACACGTACCTATTAGAAGGACGGCCTTGCCCATCGCTGAGATAGCATTGATAAGGAATTCAGTTCTAACGTTGTCCACGTTGGGCACGAGAATGGTCGGATAGGCAACTGTAAAATTACTGGGATACTCAAACCCAGGCACCTGCAATATACGATTTTCTTACAACTCAGAGAATAAAAATAAGAGACGAATTTGGGACAATTACAGACGTTTATGAGATACAACCTGTAGTATTTATTTATTAATTTATTAATTTATTTATTTATTTATTTACCCATTCATTTCTTTCATGGTTTTGTTTTTCTTATCTGTCTTTCTATGTATGTATGTATGTACGTACGTACGTGCGTGCGTGCGTGCGTGCGTGCGTGCGTGCGTGCATGCATGCATGCATGCATGTATGTATGCATAGAACAATTAGCAAAAATATACTTAAAATATAGAAGCTCGCACATATTACACACGTTTCAGTACTCATGACTACATCAGCGGCTATTTTGTGACTGTTTAGCAAGTTTCTCTAAATCATCACCTTTGTCTTCCAGTGTTGCCAGCTACCTCTACTGTCAACGAAGTAGTCGAACATCGTTGACTCGTCGTCATTATTAACTGGTGGCATGTCCATTCTTTTTTGCTGGTAGAAAAATTCCTGCAGCTGCGATTTAAATTAATTTAGATGGTATTTTAAAGCATCCCTTCTGCAAAGTCAAGTATGCACGTAGTGACATCCATGTACATAAAATTTAATTGCAAAAATTTAGTTAGTTTACATGAGCCATGACATGGCTTAAAAGCTCAAGTTCAATCAGGAACACAATAGTTACTAGCCCCTCTCATGTGACCCAAAGCACATTGTTGCAGTAACTCATCTTTAGTGCTATCCCGCCCTTCTGATCGCTAATGTACCTTATTACGATCATCTGTCTCTAGTAGAGCTCCCAGTGACCACATACAGGTGAAGACAAACAACCTCTCCAGCAGAACAGGGTTGTGATCACGCACATTGCCCTCATCGTCGCGTGGAATTAGACCTTCTAGCAAATTGATCGCCTGCTTGATGTAGTTGATCTGCAACACCTGGTGGCAGGAGAAGTAGGAGAGTTGTTGTAATGCTTTATCCGATGGGTGGAAACGTAAGTTGTTGTAATGATCAATCTGGTATCAGGGCACGGAAATCGAATTAATGGCTCAGCAGTAACATTACTAAACAAATGTCTTGGTATTTTCCCCCACATAGTGGCTGGAAACCTAGTTCATGGAAGCAAACTTTCTGCACGGACCTAATCTTACTATATATTTGGCTTCATTTTCATAAATTTTTGAAGTTTGAAATCATTGAGTTTTTTTGAGACTTTATCTCATAGCGGCAAAAAATCATGACTAAATTTCTACTGTGCTTACCGACATTTTCGCATTCAAGTGCACTTCCACAAAGTTGTACAGCGATTCAAAGTTCCATTGGAAAAGATTCAGTAGCCGATCTGCCATGCCCTTTGGTTGCTTCTTCATCCAAGCTAGAAAACCCGAGATACTTAAAACACAATATAATAACACGCTGTAACCATGCACAGTAAAAGTCGCGTTCTGTTTTACCGAACAGGCTATTTCATTACTTTTCTGAAAGCTGATCCCCCGTCTAAAGTCAGGACATGGACCATGTGGTAAGACGCCATGAATATCAGGAGCAGTCGATGAATAAAGTGATATTGTTCAATATGGTTCCCACCTCGTATTAAACAAAAATCGGTTAGTTAAAAACTTATATGAGAACGGCCTTCTTATACTGACGATGCGCTCCTAACTTCCACGCATTACTCTCTATATTTTTGAATTCAAAATCGTTTGGGTTTATTAAAAGTTAGGCTCTTTCGTGGGCAGCCTCACAAGATGTTCACATTAACAAAGGTAAAACAATCGCAACAAATTTATCGCTGTTTATCATTCAACACACTACTACTGAATTAAAAACCAAACGCAATATTAAACATCACGTTTGGCACGATACAGCGTATGGTGCGGACCTCGCAGTACTGGGTTCCAGTCGAGCACAGAGGAGCTCATGTAGACCATGCCATTTCTGGACACCGTCGCCGGACTCGCGTTCTCGATGTTGTCCGGCTCGAAGATAACCTTGCAGCTCGGCGACATCGGGATGCGGTCACCGTTGGCGAGTGTCAGCGTCTTGTTGTCGTCCAGAACGGAGTTGAGGTTCTCGATCCATATGGCGTCGATCGGTCCATCGAGTACGATCCACGTGTGCTCGCCCTGACGCATGAGACGGAACCCATGACAAGAGCTGCCAGGTTAGGTTTCGGTTTGGTCAAGATTAGGTGTTGTAGATTTGAGGTTAGACATATAACTTGTGATCAGGAGTAGGGTTAGGATTATGGGTTAGGATTAGGAGAGATGTTAGAGCTAGGGTTATAGGTTATGATTATGAGTAGGGTTAGAGTTATATAAGGATAGAAATGTCTGACACATGCGATTTAATTACCACACGTTGGAAATGGTACACTTCATTTGCGGTGCGATGTGCTCATATATGCGGATTATATATGTAATTAAAGATGTATATGTGTGTGTGTGTCAATATAATGTCCATATTGTATTTTGCTTGGCGCTACGTTACGTTGTGTTGTTTACGTTAGTATACTATCGTGTTGTTTTATTTACGTTACGTATACTATTACGTTGTTTTATTTACGTTACGTCTAATACTACGGTGTGTTATTTTCGTTACGTATAGGCTACTATCACGTCGTGCGCATGTTATCGATAATAGAAGACGAACCTTTTTAGTCCGGAGCGTTTTTCTCCAAAGGGCCGAGAAGATGCCGTCCGTCCAATCATTGGTAGTCACATCCAGCTTACCAAACATCTGAGCGGCAGTGATTGCTTTGGGATTCATGCGCATTTCTTTATGTGGAACGCCCACCTCTGTCATGGCCTTCATCAGTACCTAGAATGTCGCAGATGCGTTGGAAGCGCAAAAAAAAACAGTATTGCTATATGCAGATAGGAAGGAAAACAGCCACTAAGGCAATGTTATGGGGGAGGCAAATAAGTGAGCACGTGGAGACGCAAAAATCGGGAATGCAATATTTCAGGTCATAGCTCCGTGAATAAGTAGGCAGATAACTGAGATAAACATCAATAATCAGATAATCAATGATCAATGAAACGATTAGTTGATAATCAACTTTCACAAATCCTATATAAATTTATAAATATTTATACATAAGCATCTTAAGATGCTGTTTCCCACCTGTATGCAAGTAGACTTGCCAGAACCAGACGGGCCCAAGGTCATCATACCATGTCTCACTCGCTGCGTCTCGTATAGCTGCATCAACTTCAGTACCCATGGCTCATGATTTATCAATCCAAGTTTGGTAACCTAGTAAGAGCGTGTGAAATAGTTAGCCGAGGTTATTCAATGGAACAAAGAGCCATCGAGAGTCTGGCATTGGAAGCATATTGCCGTCTGTGCATCTTCACTAATATTATGCGAGGGGCGTTGTCGTTATGACAAAGATTTTCATACACCACTTCTTAACAGTAATATATCAGTTGGCTTATATAATACAACATTTCATACTCTGCACTAAATACGTGATAATGCATATTATCAAGAACGTATAAAGAAGGCTTCTTTATACGCTCTTGATATTATTGAACTGTTGGTAAAGCAACTTAAAATACACATACTGTTGCAAGTCAAACAAGAAATCAATGAAATAAAAAATGGTTTGGGGGTTATTTTGTGTCTAAAAAAATGTACCTGATTACTCGAATTTAGAACATCGTTCTGTCAAACTAAATATTAGTCAACTATTCAAAATCGCTAGGACGTCTTGGTGTATATGAGAACGCAGCATAGAAGCTAGCAGCATACCTGTTGCTGGATAGCGGCTTCGATGTCCGGGTAACGGCCCTTGTCGAGCTTCATGCCCGGAAATAGATCGTTGATGAGTGACAGAAACAGTGGCTCGTCCTCGTCCACCTTCATAGGGAGAAATAAATGAGCTAGTAATCGATGTTTGATGAACGCGCGGCACTTGATGGCAGGCTAACATAAAATAACAAAACGCTGTTTTTTAGCTGCTATTTCAAGTACATTTCGAAAGCACAAGCTGAAATGTTTTGTATTGCGCCAGCGTCTTTGGGCTAGATTTTTATCTGATTTTCTTTGGGCCGCCTGTCCACGTTATGCATCCAAACAGTTCCTATGTGTGCGACCCAGATTAGGATTAACACGCTATAAATACTATAAATAATATACTAACTATACTATATAGATATTGCAAGCAAACCATGAGAAATCATACCCTACTACTAATATTAGTATCAGGAGCTAATAATGACAAATTTTATTATTTGTCATTATTAGCTCCTGTTAGTATCTATACTTTACGATACTATACTTATCTATACTATACTTTAAAAACAAAACGTTTGCGCTATGAAACCAGCAGCAAGCGCAAACACAAAAGCAATGCGAATTATACCAGCTTAGATAAATTCATGTCTCGTAGAACACGCATGACGATCATTGATTCGCTGTCCTGGGGATTTGAACGCTTGAATGCCCCTAGCGTCCGTAGCACTGACAGTATGTTCCTCAGACCAAAGTCATAGTGTACCTGCCGAGCAAAATGTAATTAATTATAAGGCAGTGACCGCTCGTGACTGCCCCTTGCCGTTAGTGAGCGCCCGTTGCCGTTAGTGGCCGTTCTTTCAGACGGAGAGTTATGATAGGGAGCGAAATTTATAGTGTCCCCAATCGTCGTGACCCTAATAAGACAGTTTCCAATCGACCGGCAGGCCGTGTACAAAATTGAATACTATCCAGAGACTATTTTTCTAAAGCTCATGCCGTAACATTGAGAAAAATGTAATGTCTAAAACTAATCGTTGCCGCTACTACGGTACGTTGTAGCTGCGCGTTCGTTAAACCGGCTATCCATCTATCGTAAAACTGTTGGACGGTATTAGGCATAGTAACTAATTAGGCATAGTAAACGATGTAGGCTCCTTCACGGCAACCATCGTTACGTTTTTACGTACCAATTTCGTATTCGGCTTGCAAATAGTACACCCTAATCTTAGTGATACATAATGTAGTACACTATAGCCTTGAGAGTGTAATGTGATGCGGTAATGATACTGTAATTATTGTTTATTCTATAAATTAGTAAACTACAAGATAAGTGTTCGTTCAATGAGAGATAAACAAAATTCTGCCGACGAGATCATTCGGCGTGGTTCTATCATCTCCAGTTATGTGACTAGTAACTGTGGCTAATGGCGATACCCGTGTTAGGAACACCTTCTTGTAATGGATGGCTAGCGATCGTCTCTATATGAATGACTAAGTGTTCTTTCGTCTGCACGTACAGGACTAGCGCAGTCTGGCTCCTGGGGCTGCTTTGACGAGTTTAACCGCATTGAACTGCCAGTGCTATCAGTCGCTGCTCAGCAGATCGCCGTGGTTCATTCAGCAAGGAAGGACAAGAAGAAGCAGTTTACATTCACGGACGGTGACACGGTCTTCCTCAATCCAGAGTTCGGCTTCTTCCTTACTATGGTACCTGCGTGTTGAGAGAACCCGCTCCATCTCGCAAGTCTCAGAACCCATATGTTGTATCACGCGTTTCAGAACCCATATATCGTCTAACGCATCTCAGAACCTATATGTTGTCTTACGCGTCTCAGAACCCATATATCGTCTAACGCATCTCAGAACCCATATGTTGTCTCACGCGTCTCAGAACCCATATATCGTCTAACGCGTCTCAGAACCGCGTAATTAACAATCTACATCTCGCATGTCTCAGAACCCTTCCTACGCGGGACGGGTGGAGCTACCGGAGAATCTGAAGGTGCAGTTTCGCTCCGTATCGATGATGGTTCCGGATCGACAGATCATCATCCGCGTGAAGCTAGCCAGCAGCGGCTTCCAGAACAACGTAGTTCTCGCCTCCAAGTTCTACACACTGTACGTTCTGTGCGAGGAACAGCTAACCAAACAGGTGATGCGCAAGCAATAGGTGATAATGGAACTATATTCAGCTATGAAGACAGAATCACAAGCATTTTCGTGCTGGTTATTCTTGGTAGTCATAACAGAAGAAATGTAGACTATCTATAGGAAAAGGAAGGCCAGAGGTAAATGTGTTGCCCACACGAAAAGGCTACAGATGTCGGTCGTAGCATTGCCTAGCGGTAGACAACTCTCCCCTGTGTGAGATTTAGACATAATTTATGTTGAAAATGTGACGCCGTCGTCATTCCTTCGTTTCGTCGGTTACCTAGCGTTACAGCTGGTATCAATTTGTTACGAAAACTCCGTTGTTACAGCAGCTGTCCGGGAGAATATACCTTTAAAGATCCGACCCAGGCCCCTGTAGTCCATCTGATCGGAGCAGTTGAACACAATGACGTACTTCCCTAGACAGCGTCCCATGTCCTTGATAGTTTCTGTCTTCCCCGTTCCGGCAGGCCCCGACGGTGCTCCTCCCATTGACATTCCCAGTGCCTGAGCCAGGGTGATATAGCACCTATGTGCAATAGATTTGTTTATGATTCACAGATTTTATCCTCTATCCTTAATTAATTCCCGAATTTTGATGCGATTTTGTAAACACATTTTGCTTATAAAGGTAGCACTATACTTGTCATTAGCAACTAAATTTGAAATAATTTCCTATTCGCGGTCTGATTGTAACGGTTGCTTCATGGTGGGCAGGAAAATTATTTAAAGCCCCACTATAGCTGCGTTTCTTATAGCCCGTCTTGTTCGCATGGTTAGACGAATAGCCTGCGTTATTTTCCATAGGGTAAGCTCGCAACCTGGATTACCTTTCTTGATGTAAACGCATAAACCCATGTTACGATTTTAGCGAGAACAGACGCGACTTAATTAGTTGCTACTAATGACAGCGGTCAGCGCTAAAGTCGAACGCGACACCTACCGGTCAGTGAGGGGAGTGATGACAAGTCTTTCAGTGCAGCCCAGGAACTCGTGCTGGTAGAGAAAGTCGATGTTGGTGATGGAAATGACGCTCTGCTCTGTATCGTGGTGATAATAGAAGCGAGACTGCTTCAGCCATTCAAAGTCGCTCAGCGACGTCACGTGCTGTTTCACCTTTACGATTAAACACCAGAGGACGCGCGAATTAGTTGCTCGTCTTCTCAAGTTTCATTGTCCCCGCATGAATAGGGCAGGAATAGTCTAACGAAACCTACGTGTAGGCGATATCTGAAGACGATATGTGTATAGTAAACCTGCATTGATGGCACAACTACCGGTTGCAAACTCGCATAATACAATGCAAATCATTACCACGTCGTTGCACTGCTATTCAGGAGCCCTTTGTTAAAAACATCACACCTACTAATTATGACTATCATAAGTCTGAAATATCACAACTTCTGAAGATCACATCACTTTAAAAGTTGGGACATTTAAGACTTATTTTGTACATGTCATGACCTCACAACTACTTGTAATGCTTCTGACAACGGGCCTCCACGCGGTTAACACGCGCCCTCGACCATGGCTAATAGCGTATGGCGGCGATTTGAACTTTTCTGATGCAGATCGTCCGCGGCTGCTTGCTTACACACCATGTCGTCGAAGATGTCTCGCTGATGAACGTGTATCGTGACGAGAGTCTCGAACTTGACGCGGTCCATCGGCATGAGCTCCTTCAGCGTGATGTCGATAAGCTGCTTCAGCATGTCGTTGAAGCGCTGGCTCGTGGCATGCATCGCTTTACGCTCGGTGGCCGCTACCTGAAGAGCGGCCTCGGCTTCCTTCGTCCACATCACCTGCATTCCTAACCGACCCACCTGCAATCGGCAGCGCGCTTCGTTAAATTACCTCAACCGGCGAATTGGATTTTTCATTCGATGAATTGCCGATTATATGCTTTCGATGCAGTCGATCTATTTCTTCTCGTTCGTTCGATGAATTGGCTTCACGCGGAGAGGATGCGGTTGTTTGCAGTGATGCTGCGTCTGGTACCTACCTGCGCGGGGAAGCTCGTCTGAAAGTCAAACATGTTGAAATTCTCGCCGTCCATGTCGGTGACGGCGTTGTTGACGATGCCTTGGATGCTCCGCATAGATGCCTTTAGAAACTCTCCGAGCCACACTTCCACATTTCCCTGCAATTAATTTTACAGACCGGTATAAAGCCATTCGAATTAGAGCGCTAGTCTCCTCGCCTAATAGTGATATATATATATATTTGTGTGTGTGTGTGTGTGTGTGTGTGTGTGTGTGTGTGTGTGTGTGTGTGTGTGTGTGTGTGTGTGTGTCGTGTGTGTGTGT